ATTGCATAGGACAGTATTTGATGAGTCATTTATCCTGTCAATCAATACAGTAACTTTACGAAGGTCACAGAAGTATAAAAGGGTCAGGTTCACAAAGTAGCAATAGAGCAATAAAGTTCTCCTTTCACAGAAAAAAAATATCACAAAAACATCATCAAGACAACACATTTAAATAGGCAAATGAAGTACACATACAATAACATGTGCGTAAGGTATAAAAAATACACACACACACATTCAAAATGCTTTCCTTTCCTCAACATTGTTGAAGTGCACGTGTATATAATTTCCTTTAAAAAAAAAAGAAAAGAAAAGAATAGACATATTTTTCCCAATGTTATAACAGAGGCAATAAAAAAACCCGCAACATTCAGAAATATAATAGTAATAATGAGTGGGCTTTACCCGTTGTTATGTAGTAGAGACATGGAATAGAAGGAAGACAAGAGAAAAAATAAAAAGCATTTACTACCGGTATCTTTTTTCTACATTTTCTACTATCTCTTTCTACAGTTTCACTCCCTGGTAACATTTGTGTCAAACACATTGGCTATGACTAAATCCTTTCAGTTTCTAATCAAATACTAAATGTAAATATGTAGACATTTAACTAAGTTGTAACTGAAAATTAATTAGCCATTTACAGTGAGTAAGAATACATCAGCTTTTTTGGTGCGTAGAAAACTAATAAAATGATAGCAATAAAAAGAATTAGAAACAGAACACCACATAAGAGTGCCCTACAAACAGCTGGGGTGAAGGGTAAAAACCTTGAAGACAGAAAATGCAATTGAAATTTAAATAAAAAATACGTTGCCACTATTCTTCCATTAATGAAATGTTCAAAACGACGAAGGGGCAGGTGAGTCTTAATTTATCTAAGTCTCCCACTGAACAGGAGAAAAACTTTTCTTGCACCTGACTTTGAACATCATCAAATTTCTAAGACATCCCTCATATCTACTACTTCTTATCCATACCTAAACATTCGGTTTCTGGTATGAGAGGAAAACACTTAAGTAACATTGCTCTTCACAATCACTTTGGAGAAAACCCAGTAATTGGAGAGATGGGATTTGGATGACGATTTCTGAGGCTGAACAACATAACATCAGTGACCCATGCAAGCCCTTCTTCAATACTAACCTTGCTAACTTGAATTCTGGCAAAAAATCATTTTTTTGGTTGTTTTTTTATGCATAAAAAATTTCCTGATACCTCGATACTGATTCACAACGTGTACGAATATTAAATTAAAGTCAGGTTCAAACTATAATTGCTCTAAAAAATACGTAAAATTTGGCGCGAGCCTTGCTATCCAGCACGAGGATATAAATGATCTGCTGAGCCTCGCTAACGTAATATAGCAAGGTTCCCTCAGAGCACTGAACAAGCCCCATGGGCCGATAAACGTTGCTGATTTTCATCATGTAGTCACTTTCTTTTTATTGATTTCACTAACCTGCCGTCGAGACACCAGAGCATGTAAAACAAGAGCATCTATAGACAACCCAAAGATAGTCAGGTTAGTCCAGTAGTCTAGAGCAAATTTAAGCCATGTGAACTCTGTTCTAACCTTGCTTACACTTCAGCGAGGCTCAACGGAGCTGTGCTTGGGGCGGAGAACCTCGCTTAACAAAGGACATTTTGTCGTTAACTCAAATTACATAATAATGCGCTTAGGTAAAACACAAAGGCTACTTCATTGCAGGAATTTGTTTAAGGCCTATCACAATACATTACTGACAAAATTTGATTGCCAAAGTGTTAGCATTAATAAAGTTAGAATGTGTCTCGCCTTATGCGCAGCGCGACGTCGCATGCGGTCCTTGCTGCTCCAAAATCAATCAAGTAAGATTATGACGAATTCTTCTCCTTACACAAGATACGACATCTAACCGCGTAACCATCGCCTGTGATCGGTCCATGTAGCCATCAAGATCTCGTCGCATGCGACTGACTGGGTATGTGACAGGTTTAAAGCATCATTTTTATTGGTTAAAATACCAAGTCAAGGAGCGCCAGTCGATACGACATGTGAGTGGTGTGTGATGTGGTCACGCATAAGGATACACATCTCACAACTCATCGCTAGCGACTGCTAAGTGCTACGTGACATTGCGTCCCGCAAAAGGAGACATAGGCTTAGACAGATTTTTGTCTCTCTCTCCGGTAAAAATTTAAAATTTGAGTCAACGAGGTTCCAACAGAGCACCAACGATATCATGTATTCAAACGTGCATTCTTGTCATGAGACATTCATCAAAATATTGTGCTAAAATCTTTGCATTTCTACAAACAACAACATAACTTGTACATCTAAATAGTTTGTGTAAAAATGGTCATTTCAATAATCACATGCATTCAAAATACATTAAAAAATTGAACAGATTGAGGTTAAATAGAAAAACAAAGGAATGGTAAGAAACAAGAAGACATATCTCAAATCATAAAAACTGAAGGCCCTCTTGAGATGCAAATGTTAGGTCTACCATCCACAACCTGTCTAACTATATTACTTTGTTACTGAAACAACAAAATGAAGGGTGAAAATTGTGGAGCAAGAAACATGACAAAGTAAACTAAGTTATGATTCATTTTCCCCTTTTCCTAGATGATGTGAGACAGTAAGTATATACCCATGTTTATTCAAACAATTTTTTGTTGTTAAGGTTTTACGCCCATATTGACACAATTTAGATTATTTAATTTAGGAGACGGGCTTCTATGACCCAGCCTGTTAGGGTAGGGCCAACCCAGGCTGAGAGGGGAAACAACATCCACTCATACAGACTGAGAAACTAGACAAAAAACCCCCAAACAAACCCTTCCTTATACAGGAATCAAAATCGTGTGTTCTAAGTCCAGCAGCGAAGAACTTAACCACTACACCTCAAGTGCTAGTGTGTTCTGTTATTTTTACTGTAATCCTTTAACTTCCTGGTATTAATATGTAGCCAGTCTTCCTAGGGTGTTGAGATTTTCTGAGTTGTCATTTCACAATTCACATACATTACTTGCGTGAGGAGGTTAGAGATTGTAGATAGTCTGCTATCAGCTCACCATGGGTGCAAATACCTCACTGGTAAGGTTTGACTTATACCCCACAATCTTTCTGACGCAGAAGGTGTATCTCTTTTCTACGCTAGTCATTTCATCTGTCCACTCCTTTTCTGAACCACTGAACCTGCCCTTGAAATTACCTGTGTTAAATACATGTATGACATGGGAAGAGTCAGGCCCTGGAAAAGATGGACAGAGGGGGGAAGAGAATCATTAGATAAAAACAATATAAACATGCAACAGGTGGTACAAAAAAAGCAAGTGAAAGACTTTTGCTTCTCTCTTCTAAGTCTTAAGGTCACAGCGACTGGAAAAAGTAAAAGGTAAAGTAAGTAAATAGGAAAATAACTCAAAGAAATTGCACCTAAAATCTGCCATCAAACAGCACATGTCACACTGTTTTGACCCCAGAGTCTCTAACTGAAGAGTAACATATACAGCATTTCTGCAATGGCATGTCACCAAAGCTAGTCTAGACTGACACATGTATACGGGTACACAGCATGACTCAAGTTGAGTTAAGTTCTTACAAAATACCCATGACACGACTGCCACTGTTCAAATACCCTCCATTTTCATTATCACAAAGCTTGAGACAAAGCAAGGAAACTTTGTACAATACAACAATTACACCTGGCAGTTGAAGGCACAATAAACAAAAACATTTGTATGGCAGCCTGGGAAAAACCTTTGTTTGAGGAAAGAGAAGAACATCGACAAAATAAGGTCATTTGGTGCTGGGAAAAAAACAGGAAAAAGAGGTGGTTTTTTTCCCAAGAAAGTCTTATACACGTTCTCATATGCATACGGTGATATGAGAACAATTTGCAGATTCAGAATTTACTCTATTTTAGAAAGTGACTTTTTTTTACAAGTCTTTGACCTTTCTAGGCAGCAAAACATTAAAAAAACAAAACAAATAAGTTTAAAGCCAAACATGTTATCACATCAACAGCAACAAGAACTGTTTTTTTCATTCTTATTCAGTTATATTCCTTAACAAACAAAATGTTACATGTCAAGTCCCACAAGAGTCTCATTTACGGTACAACTGAGGCATCATGTGAAAGAAAAAGGACAGAAATCTGAACTCTGTAATTTGACACTTGAGTATGCCATTGTCAAATTCTTCTATTATGTTCCCACCTGTCCTGAACACTAGACTGTCCAAATAACTTATTAAAATCAATCCACTGCTCAGTGTAAGACTTCATCAGATGTCATTTTTCAAAATGGCAAGTGCGGAGTCTTCCACTGTGCAGTCAATATCTTGTTGGCCATTAATCACAAACCAACAGGACATATATGCAGCCCTGAAGTATGTGATGGAGATGAACTGACCCGCTTTCCTCCTCCATTTTCACAGCAAAGCCATAATGTCACATGTGACCGTTGTCCAAAGCTAATGTCCATACCTTTGACAAAAAACTAGAACCTTTTTTCTTCCCTTTTTACTCAGAGCCTTTTTACAATACAGATAATTACACTGAGAGCAAGTATCTTTGGTACAATGTATTCAGCTACATTACCCACAGGAAGCCGTTTTTGTGTTTAAAAAAACAACACAACCAAGACTTCCGTTTACAAAATTAAAATCAAATGATTTTATCTTATTTTAGAAAAATAAAAAAAGTATATATATGTGAAGAAAAAAAAAAATTTAGTTAGACCAGACAAAATGTTAAAATATTTTAGTTTACAAATTTACCTCCCTGCACAATCTGTCACTTAAAACAATTACCCTTTCAAAGACTTTATACAACTGGAAAACATCAACAAAAACCCCACTAGTGCAATGGACAAAGTGATGACATACAAAAACCCAGTCAAGATTAAATAAAGGGTTTCACTTCAGTTATGAATTTGGGCTACAGTACACACTTCTTTCAGTGCAAACCATAAATTACAATTAACCCCCCCCCCCCCCCCCCCCCCCCCCCCCAAACAAACACGCACACCATCCTCAAGGATATCAATTTCCTGTTCCGGCTCAGTCCCAGTCAATAAACAATAGACTGTCATGTGGTCCCATAATTTCATCCAGCCAACACTGACCAGCATACACGGCAAACGAGAATACAATCTAACATGCCCTGAGTAGAACTTGATGGATGAACTGAAGAAGATTTCGCATTTTAAAAATCCATAAAGAACATAAAATGATATCCAGAATGGTCAAAGGCCGACGATGCAGACAGGAGGGGATAAACATTTTTTGACATCAATAATATCAATAGATAATGCCATCATTTCAAGTTAAAATATTGCAAAATTAATCAGAAACAATTTTTTTCTATGTCTAGAAAAGAACATGTTAATTATGGACGTCCAGTGCGCTGCAGGAAGACCTTTTTTTCTACATGAAGTTTGGCAAGGATAAGGCAATTTCTTAAAGAAATACAGTATTTATTTATTTTTGCTCTCTTCCTTCCCCATTCAGGCTTGCAGGGTAAAATTTAAGAATTCACTAATACGCATGACATACAAGTTAACAACAGATGGTATTAACTACTTAGCTTGGAGTAAATTTTGTACTTTCTAATTACTGGAGCAAGTAAAATTGGACTTGTCAGCATGGACACCTTGCATGTCTTTCATGACGGCCTGTGAGAGTGTCAGACCAAATATAAAAGCTCCAAGCACAATAAACACGATGGAGAAACCCTTCATGAAGTGAACAAGTCTCGGCTGAGGTTCACCTGTCTCAATTCTGTCTTGCATAGTCTTCAGTAGGCACATTCCTGAGGAAATAAATAGAATATCATACTTAATTCAAGCAGAAGAATGGGGGTTGAATGGGGGTGATGGGATCCTCGTTATGGTGATACACATTGGTACAGCAATTTAAGTTCTTTGATTCTTCTAACTGGGCACAGTTGGTCAAAAAAGTTACTTATCCAAAAGAAGAAGAGGGAGATCAACGAATTCAGAGGCAATAGGTGTACAGCTTCAGTAATGTGCACACCTCTGTAACATATGGCAAGAGAGGCAAGAAGAAGGAAAACTGGATCAAGCAAACCATAGGTTGAAAAAAAATGCTAATCAGACATCGGCCATATTCAAAACAACCCCATCCCAGCTCAATAGGTGAATGAAAGTAGTATTCTAATTCCCACATTTACCAAGCCTGAATTGCCACAGCAGTTAGGAGGGAGATACCTGGACTCATGATTAAAAGATCCCGGTATCAGATGTTTATGTGAGAGATCTGATGTTTTGTCTTAAAAAAAACAAAAACCCACTGATATTTTTTCCCCATTCCACCAGTGTGTAAATTGGCAACCTACTAATAATAATGACAAATAGCATTTGTACAGCGCAAAATCCCGGTCTACAGCAAACTCTATGCGCTTTACACTATATTATTACCCCAGCAGACCACAGAACATTCAGAAACATTCTCAGCTTCCCGGTAAGCATACAGTGCCAGCAGCTGATTAAGAACTAAAACACTACTAAACTGACAAGATCTTTCATTGTCTATAGCTGGGTACCCATTCTCACCAGGGTGATGTGAGGAAAATTTGTGTAAAGTGCCTTTCCCAAGGACACAACAACGAGTCTCTGATGGGATTCGAACCCACGACCTTACGGTTGCACGTCTTAGACTACTTACAGCCTAACCACTAGGCCAGCGATGCTAGCATACACCTACACACAAGCTGTGAAACAAAGAATCTAACAGACTTCAACCTTACCTAGGAAGTGATCTTCAATCAACTGTTCTGCTTCATGCTATCAAAACCAGCATAAAAGTGCTATCCGTACGGGCAAAAGGGGTTAAAAAGAACTTAAAAACGTTTGTGAGGCAGCGTGGTGGAATCAGGCTCTCGTCAATTTTTGGGCATGTGGAGTTGTTGGTTGCATCTTAAAGCTTGTTCACTTTCCTTTATTTGGATTTTTAGAATATCAATTTATCTTGAATACGAGTCGAGATATTTGTGAATGAAGGACCCCTAACAAATTTTTCCGTATCCTTTCTGACTCTCTGTCTTGAATCACCTCACTTACAAATTACACATTCTTTTTCCAAAATTAGTTAGGTCACCTGTTTTCAGAGGTAAAGTTAGTGAGAAAATGGTCGCCAAAGATTAGTTATTTTCTTAGCTTAAGAGTCCGTGGTAACTGAACATTTACATTTTTTGTGCCTTTAATCCACGTTTTTCAGGAAAGTCCACACTGAAATGAGCTCTTTAATGGGCATGAAAGGTGTTGAGCCAAAAAACAAAAATTTGATATAAATTCACAAACCTGCGGAAAAATACAAGTTTCATCACCTTGATTATTTTGACGAGAGCCTGATTCCACCACGCTGCCTCACATTTACATCTGAATAAAAACATGAACTTGCTTGAAACTTCAATGTAAATGATGTGGGTTTGGCTCCAACACAGAGCAGATATTTTATGGAGTATCTCCATCGTCCTGCTGTGATATTGTATCAAACACAGTCCAGTCTGGTCTGAAACTGACCTCATAGTCTCAAAGCGAGAGATCTAAATGTGAGGCATCATGTTTTTAGTTTTTTTAGTTTTTTTAGTTTTTTAGTCTTAGTAAGAGTTTTACGGCGCTCGCAACTGCATAAGGTTATATGAGTGTGCGAAATACAAGTTGATTGCATTCACAACAGTTCACTGCACGGCTGGGCTAGGGTCAACGATCAGATTTTAAAAAGTAAAAAACTTGAGGTAAAATAACAATCTAAAAAGGATAACCTGCTAACCATAAAAATAACAGTATTTACAATTTTTCATAAAAGGCCATCGGCCTTTTATAAAATCAAGGATTCTGTTGGGATAAATGATGGAAAACAGACCTTGCAATTTTTTACATTTAAAATATTTCTTTCGGGTCTCTCCAAAGTCTAGACATTCTGTTAAAATGTGTCTAATCGTAAAATCTGTGTCCAATCCGTCACAGAACGGCTTCTCATCTCCTTGAAGGAGGTATTTATGTGTCCGGGAAGTGTGTCCTACGCGTAATTGAATAAAAATGACTTCGTCTCTTCTGTAGAGACCCGAAGGTTTTCATGGACCCAGTTTGGGCTTTAAGTTGTGTAGTTTGTTGTTGGTCCCAACGATTCTCCCACAGATCGCAGGTGTAGTTTTTGACTATATTTTTTTCTCAGAGGGAGAGTGTTCGTCGTTGATCCCAACGGAAGAGACAAGGATTCCTTCGCCAGGAGATCCACCTGCTCGTTTCCTCGGATTCCAACGTGGCTAGGTAGCCATGCGAACACGATATTTTTCCCTGTTTCATTCCAAAGCGTGTATTTTTGTTGTTGTAACCTAACTAATTTTGGAAAAAGAATGTGTAATTTGTAAGTGAGGTGATTCAAGACAGAGAGTCAGAAAAGATACGGAAAAATTTGTTAGGAGAATTTTCTACGGAGTCCAGTGCCATGTCATTTATATTTTTAGTGAAAGAGGAACGTGGTGATGAACATGCAGTACAATTTAAGACACAACTTTTTTTCCAATCTGTGTTTCAATCATCTGCTCAGACACATCTTCAATTCATCCTGGAATCTCTTCCTCTGTGATTAAAAAAAAAAAGGTATCACCATCTTTCAGTTCATTGACAAACTTTAACACTGGTATCAAGAACATAAAGGCCACCCTTTCCTAGTTTGTCTCATTTTGAGATGATACAAGACAAAGTGTGGAACTTTTTTTTTTATAGTAGAGGGTTTTATGGCGCTCCCAACTACATAAGGTCATATGAGCGCCAAGGGGTGGGTGTCAACAGAGAAGACTTAGACTGTACACCTCTCTAGCTTCAACAGCACAAGGTCTGCTTCGACTATCAAGGCACCCCGGAAATAGCAGGTAACAAGAGAGTGACAAACATACAAAAGAAATAGAGGGAAATGACAATAGTAAGGATCAGGAAAGAAAAAGCAGCAGGTCCCTGTTGTAGATCAGGTACAGTTAAGAGCATGACATGAGTCAGTCCATTTACAATTCTACTGTGCTTGAACGAGAAATGTCCCCCCTTTGGGAATGGCCTAAAGACACAACAGTCAGTGGCACTGCCCCGAGGGGTTGTGAACTTTTATCATGACTTACCTGGGAAAATAAAGATGAAGATGGCAGCAAAGGCTCCCAGAATTTGTATAACAACTCCAATATTTGGAATGAAAATAGACAGCAGCAGCGTCGCAATAAACCATAATATAGTGGTGATGATCCTACGTCGTCTTTCCTTCAACAGAAATTCCTCTGGGGTAATTTTCCATATACGTGACCATATACAATCAAATCCAGCCCTGCAAAATATTTGAACCAAACCTTAGATTTTTAATAGAACTGACAATGTCACAAAACAAAAGGCATGTAGGGACATTTGCTAAAGTACATGTTATGTTCCAAGTAAATCTGAACAAACTGGTCATTTAAATCTGCACAGAATCATAATGGCATTTGAAAAATTACATTTTGTCTCCATATTTTTTTGCTCACTCTGAAAAGCAAAGTCAAACAGAGTAACATTTTCTTTGCAAGAACAACAGTATATCTATTTGAATACACACTGAGACATCCATGCTATAAACAGTTTAAACAATCACTAACCATTTGAACTTTTGACGGATCAATGGTGATAAATATGAAAAGCATTAAAGTTGCATACAGCTACCACAAAATAAAAGAATAGGATAATACAGATATATGCATTCATTTTCTCACACACACACACACACACACACACACACACACACACACACACACACATTCATGTTTGCTAGTACTGACTTGTAATACAAATCAGATTAACAATTATCTCTTCTAAAAAAGGGTAGTATTGACTAAAACACACAAAATATGAAGATGGACCAACCTTCCACAAAATAAAAGGATGGGGTATGTTGTGTACGTCTTGATAGCGATTAGCACAACAGCAAAGATGACTGGGATGTCTGGATCAAACGACAGCAGAACGTCTGAAGTAATCTTGTCACCAAACTACCAATGGATTGAAAGGAAACAAGTCAATATATATACAGGGAAAAGAGAGAGAGAGAGAGCGAGAGAGAGAGAGAGAGAGAGAGAGAGAGAGAGAGAGAGAGAGAGAGAGAGTATATATGATGTGCACTTATAATTCACCCCTCGTATATAGAGTATAATGGAATACATTGAGCAATGCCTTGCCAGATAGAAGGATGACACTTCACTTCCGACAAACACTTCTATGATTCTTTCTTCCTGCAGTCAAGTTATACCACCTTCAAAGAAATACAATAGTGTCAACTTTACAGCAACCCAGATAATCGTAACCTCCATCTATCAGCAGCTTAGGTAACGGAATTTCCCTGCATAAAGAACCCCATTAAAAATTTTCCTCTAATAGCAACCTGCACTGCTATAAATAGTCTGACATAAACAAACATTTTTTGACAATTCAAAAGCCGTGTGAACACAAAACTAAAACTGGCCCATAATAGTGAAGGGTGTCCAGCAATATTTCAGAAATTTACTACCCAGCAAATCAAGCCCACCACCAGCTCGAAAAAGGGAGTTCATTTGTGACATCAATAACATATATTATTATTACTTAATATATGGAACAAAAACAACACACAACAAAGTCCAGTCGACAAAATGGAGGATAGACAGACGATTGCAAGCAAGCTTGGTCGCCGCTAGATGTAGTTTTAGTAAGGTTGGTGAACACCAAAACTGGTCCATAATCTTGGGGCACATGCACCCCTGCTCTCTTGTCTATTTCCTCAAAACCCTCTCAGGCAAAAAATTCACTACATTAAGCACAGTAGTTCAGTTACAATGAGCCTCCTTTCTTTAAAACCTCTCCCGGCTGGGAGGAAACGTCTCAGCGGCCATTGTGGTTTGTTTGTTTGCTTGAGTAAAGAGAAGCACATCGACACAATAATGGTCATTTAGTGCCGGGAAAAGGTAAGCCAGACAGACAGAAACAACAGTAGAGGGAAAGTAAAGAAGTAGGATCTAACAGTGGCATCCTCCAACCCGCCCATTGTGGGTAACATTGTCCTAGCACAGGTTTGACTGAACTTGGACACCAACAACAAATCTTATAAATAATATGTGAGGCAGCGTGGTGAAATAATAAAAACACATTTCCAAGAGAATGTTATAGAAAAACATTGATCAAAGGCACAAAATATGTCATTTTCTGTTTTCTACGACTCTTTAGCTATTGGAGTTACAAAACTTTGACGGCCATTTTCTCGCTAATTTCACCTTTGAAACCAGGCCATCTCACCTCTTTTAATTGCAAATATCTTGAGTTCTATTCAAGATAAATGGATATTTATTCAACCAGAAGCAAGGCAAATAAATCAGCTTTTACATGACACCAATAACTCCACATGCCCAAAATTTGACGAGTGCCCGATTCTACCGCGCCGTGACACATGTATGTCAATGTGCATAGGGCAACATCTATACTTATTAGAAGCATGGCTCCTCGAGATGGACCAATCTGCTTAGCAAAAGGCAAACAAAAGGAAACATGAGCCAATATAGAACATTTACAGGAAAGTGACACTCAAAAATGATGTTTTTGAGTTTGAGAAGCACATCAACACAATAAGATAATCTGATGCAGGAAAAAATGTGAGTCAAACTAGAGAGGGAAAGAAAGAAGTAGGACCCACCAGCGGTACTCTGCACCTCCCCCACCCCCACCCGAACTATTTGCACCCAAAAATAAATAACAGCAAAAAAGAGACATCTAAGTCGCTACCTCAGAATTACAAAGTTCTATGCGACATTTTTTGCTGTTAATGGAGTTACAAAGACAAAGAGGTCAGAAACCAAATGTTCTATCTGCTCTATCAAAATCGTAAGATTATTCAAAGTCATTATCAAGATATTCAAACAATTGCATTTGAAAAAGCTTGACATGATGTGACGTCGAATTTCTCAAAACTAGGTATTGTGCAGATAGAACATTGTAATTCTGAGGTAGTTAAGTATTAGGACAGTACCTGTAGGTATCCCAGCGCCGCCGTGACTGTGTATGTGAGCACACAAAGCACCATAGCAAGGGAGATGGTCTTGGAGAACTCTCGCAGATTTCTCTTTTCCATGCATGAGTAGATTGGGATGATACTCACATGGCACTGAAACACAGACAAAAAGGATAGCAAAAATGAGTAACACATTATACACAAAATGCCTTTAAACATTACCAAGACAAGGTTTCATTTCCCCTTGAAAGAATGCACCCTTGTCAACCCCCAACCCCCCTCCCCTCCTGTAAATTCCCTGAAAACTGCTTGTGCGCTCTCTCTTTATATTTATTCACCTGTTTTTCAGTCCACAGCAAAGTAACAGACTGCACAAGTGTCATGTAGCAACATTGATGACCAACTGACAACTCCGCAGTCTAAATCAGGGGCTTGATAGTTTTAAGTTAAGATTTTAAGGCTTGCAAAATCAAACCTGTTCATAACAGTAACTCAAGATCACAGAGAAAAGGGACCTTTATAGACAAGTGGTGGCTATGGACAGTATCTGAGTTATAGTGACTTACTAGACTTGACAAAGTCAAGAGGTGGTTTAACGTCTTAAATCCCAATTTCACCTCTCCATTTCATTTCCATCAAAATTGTTGTTATCGACCATAAGAGCATCTTTGAATTGACCGAATGTACACACTCTGTCAGAGGACAGGTTGGCTGGAAACTTTTGTAGTAAAGAACTGCCATGAGCAGGTTTTGAAACCTACACTCTCTGTCAGAGGACAGGTTGGCTGGAAACTTTTGTAGTAAAGAACTGCCATGAGCAGGTTTTGAAACCAACTTGTTAGGAAAAATGACTGACCTTGGCCATATTCGACAGGGACCAGTATGGACAGGTTAAAAATATAGGAAAAATACAAGGGTGTCACAGAACAATGGCAATAAGTACAGGTGACTGTTATGGAGAGTTGACCACTAAAGCAGTTCGACTGTACACAAAAAGCTAGCAGCTCTAGTCTCACTAAACTCATGGGAAAAATGAAAATTGATGCCATAAGGACTTTCATTTACTCTCATAATAGACATTACGTTTTACATAAATATCCTTCTACCATTTTTTTTTTCATTAAAAAAAAAAAAGAATTGATCTGACAGAAATCAGTAAAGGCATTCCACAAACCTGATAAGCAAAGCAAATGTCTGGCACCACAAGAAAAACATCAATCCATGACTTTGGTCTGAGGAGGAGACAGATGACAATATTACTGAACAAACAACATTGAACTGCATAAGAAAAAAAATTATAGACTATAGAACATAAATAAAAGTGAACTTGCGAGGATATCCCATTCTAATGAGATCAAATGGTAAAGGTAATAATAATAATAATATTAATAATAATGAAGATCATTTCAATAGCGCCCACTCCCGTGTAAACACAGCTCTAAGCGCTTTACATAAATTCATGTACGAACAATATTCACGCACGCGACACACACACGCACACACACACACACTCACACACACATGTGCACACACATGCATGCCACACACACACACATCAACTCGCTTTTCACACACGCATGCTTACACATCGTTACGAAATGAGCACATTCACACATATATAATAAAATAATATACACAATGCAATTCACAAAATACATAAATGGATAAAGGGTCATTTACATAACATTGTCCAGAACATGAATGTACTGACATAAAAATGATGTCATTAAATGTGTCTTTAAAGATTAAAAAAATTTAGACTCAGATGTTGTATGTCTCAAGGGTTGGGGTAGAGAGTTCCAAACTGATGGAGCAAGGTGGGCAGACGATCTTTCAGCTATTTTTTTACCCCCTTTTCTAGGAACTCTTAAAAGATACTGATCCTGATCTTAGCGATCTAGATGGAACATAAATCTGGAAGAGATCACTAAGATATGAGGGAGCTTTGTTATTGACACATTTATGACATAATATTGCAATTTTATATGACATTCTAGCTGACACGGGAAGCCAATGCAACGTTCTTAGCATGGGAGTAATGTGATCCCTCCTCTTTTTCTTTAGTACAAGCCTAGCAGCATGATTTTGAAAACGTTGTAACTTGTGAAGAGTGGTATTTGGTAAGTTAGCTAGTAAAGCATTGCAATAATCGATGCGTGAAAACAAGAAAGATGACAAGAGCGTTTTCAACGAGAGTTCATTCAAAAACATAGACATATGACCAATTTTACTCAATTCACAAAATAAAATGGTACATAAATAATTGGTATGATGTTCCATTGACAATTTTGAATCAAAATACACTCCCAGACTTTTTGATGTTGCTTTATAAGTAAAATACAGTTTTTCATTTTCAGTACAAATATGATCAATGTCTACGGGGATATGGGTATACTTATTTACTTGGTTGGAGAATAAGCATCATTGCAGGCGGCACAATGCCATAGCTGCTCCTCCCTCCTCTCCAGGATCCACGAAAGGGTCTGCCTGCTGATCGTGCCAATAATCAGCTGGTTGGATATTCTTCTGGCTTTTCCACGCAGGTTGCTGTCTCTCCCCAACCCTCTGGAGATACCAGCTTCCCTTAGTCTATCCATTGTGTGTGAAGTGGTGCCTTCATCCTCTCTGTGGTCGTAGACCCATGCTGTCAATGCTGCCATGACTGTTGGTGGATCTAATTGCATGGTGCCGCCAATCTCAGGCTGGCCAGCTAGCTTATCAGCATGTTCATTGCCTTGAACTCCTGCATGACCAGGGCTAAAGGTCCATACAATCCTTGTGAGTCTGCTGCTTTGAATTGCCTCTCGCCAGTCTGCATACATTAAATGTTTCTTCACTTTTTCGAGGGTACTCATTGAGTCGGTGATGAGACTGGCAGACTGATACTCCGCAGTTTTAATCCAGTTAACGGCTTCTGTGATGACATCCATCTCCATGCACATGCTGGACTTGGTTATACTAGAGGCACCAGACATCTCTCTCTGTATGACCCTGTTTACACAGGCACTGAAAGCCTATCCAGATTTGACACCACGTTGTACTGATCCATCTGTGAAGATGACTATGTCGCCCTGTTCATTGTTCTCCTCTATCAGCGTCTCTACCTCGGCATTGGCTGCTCCCTCTGGTCACTCAGGATATTCTCTGCCTAAGGTTGCTACCACTCGAGTATACCGCCCAGGTGTGTCATTGGTGCTGACCCAGGCGCTGCCCCTTTGGATGTCTTGCACTTCACAGCATTTAGCCAAAGCGTCGCCGCCTCACTCATCCATACAGTCCCTCTAAGCAGACGCGTGCGTACAGTTCTTCCCACTTTGTCATGTAGTGGTTGCTGATCATCAGCACAGACTCTCAAATATGCTTTCACCTGAGCAATCTTGCGACCTTCTACCATGGCTGGAAGGTCCAGGAGATAACGCAATGACTTGCAGGGTGTGTTTCGAGTGCATCCGAGAACAGTCCGCATACCTTCGTTCTGAATTCTTTCAAGGCGTTTCAGCTGCAACGTTGACAAGGTGAGGAGACCGAGGACATAGTCTATCACAGACAGCACAAGAGTCTGATATAGTATGGCAAAAATTCTCTGTAGCATTCTGTTACGTGCCATGGTTTTCAGTGCGGTCAGACCTTTTCTGGTTCTTGTGATGATCCTGGTTATGTGATCTTTACCTGAGAATGATCTGTCAAAGGTGATACCTAGATACCTCAGTGAGAGCTCATGCTTCAGGACCATGTAGTTGATCGTGACTGTGGGCATCTCTGCTATAACCGCGTGATTGTCCAGCGAACACCATTGCACAAAAGGCCTTGTCGGAGTGGAGTTTGCCGTTGTGGTTTACACACCATTGCCCAATTCGATCCAGCTCCTGTTGCCCCACGTTAGCGGTTTCTTGCCTGTCCTTACCCTGTCTATATACAAGGATATTATCCACAAAGCTCAACAAACGCCATGGGCCTTCCAGTTGTCCAGAAGTGATTCCAACAGTGCATATGTTGAATAAAACTGGTGAGAGCGATGATCCCGGTGGCATCTCCTGTGTGATGCTTCTGGTGTCAGATGTCCAATTACCCAGCTGCATTGCAACTCTCCTCTTCAGCAATGCCTCACCTATCCATATCATGAGCTGGAGGCTAATCTTCAGGTTGATCATAGTTCTCAAAAGGACATTGTACTCAACCAAATAGAAGGTATCCTCGAGGTCAAGCGCTGCTATCAGAGTCTCCTCATCTCTTTCAAACTAATCATAAACATAATCAAAGTATAACAGGGTCATGTTTATTTGTAACGAAGGCTGTATTTAGTATTTGTCCAGTCCTTTCTCACGACACGTTTTTATTGGGCGCATATCAGATTAAATGGACGTGACATGCGTCCGTCGCGTTGTGCTCGATGATGCAGGCTTTTGTGGGTTCAAATGGTATAACAACTGAAGGCACCATTTACTTATATTGCACAGAAAATAATTGAAGGTCAGTAAAGAGCAAAACTTTTTATGGTACTTAACAATCAAAGTAAAATTTCTAAAGAAAAGTGATTTGATGAAATGAGAAACACAAATTTTTTTCTTTAACTCACTAACTGCCGTTACTGGAGTGTATCCGGGATGAGGTTACGTAATAAAATTGCCGAACCCGGAGGCCCTCCGGTATGGACTTTAATAATTTTGTTCCATTTTCATCCCGGACTGCAACTGGGTCTGGCAGTTTACAGCAGTTAGGGAAGCCATTTCGACGTGATAAATTACTAGAGTCATCGGCCTTATGCTTTAGTTTTTTGGTTTTTTTGGGGTGATTTTTTTTCCACAAGAGACCTAGGCCTAGATTTAGGCTATTCCCTGCCAATTCTCAGTTCTGTTGTGATTTCCCTACACGATGGCATCCAAGAAGTGCCGCAATATTTTTGATGCATTAGCGGACAAAAGTGATGATGAGACGTTTCATGGTGTTGGATCGGACATTGAAATAGGTGAATTAGATGTTGATAGCGATGTTGACCCATCATTTTGTGTTCGGGAAGGAAAAAGAAGGCAAAGATTACCTTATTATAATGCTAGTAGTGTGCCAGAATCAAGTCCAAGATCTAGATCTACTACAAGATCTAGTACAAAGAAGAACTATCTTATCTAAGGTAAACTATAACAATAGTGGTGTTTTATCTATCTGTTGTGTTTGTTTGATTGTTATTTGTGTCAAAAACAACATAAAACACAACACAACTAGCCTAAACAAACAACAATGAACAACAATAAGTTGATTTCACATTATTAGTTTTTGTCAAAAATTGACCATTTTTTTTTTAAATCGCAAAAACCCCCCCAAATTATAGCATATATTGAAAAGATATTCGGCATGAGTACACTAAAGCATGTAAATGCACTGCGCACAAAAGTTCAAATCCCGAAGTACAATAGTTTTTGAGTTACGATTTTTTTAAAACACTCTAAAAACCGCGGCAGACCACTGCTGTTGAGGCTCCACGGGCCTGGCAGTCAGTGAGTGAAAGTAATACCAAAACACAAGGGTGAAACAGTCTGAAAGAAAAATAAATGACAAGAGGACTTTTTAGAAACAAATATTAAAACTTACGAAGTGGCTATGGAGCTGGGTTCAGTATGGGGCAGGAAATACTTGGTAGTGACCAATGCTACAACATACAGGATTCCAATCACACCAACAACACTGCAAGAAGGAGAACAAGCACAGTGGCAATCAATGCTCCATACAAATGGAAATTCAAGCAGTTGTACTTTTTAAAAAAGAAATAAATATGACACAAGGATTTGTACATTTTTTTTTACTGTAACTATTATAACCATTTTGGCTAGTCGGCTTTGTTACAGACTTTATAACTATATGCATTTCAAGAACAAACACAAAATGGGTGATCATAGAGGTTATGAATTCCTTTCTTTACAGCCATGAAGCTCATAAATGAAGAACACACTTATAATCTTTTTCCTTTTTTGTTTTAGTAAGCGTTTTACAGCACTTGCAACATAATAAGGTCATATAAGTGCTGAAGATTAGAAGTGTTACAAAAGAGTTAGTTTAGTTTTAGTAGAGATTTTACGGCACTCGCAACTGCATAAGGTCATATGAGCGCCAGAAGATTAGAGGTGTTACAAGAGAGTAACAAACACAAAAAAGAAGAAGGGGAGATAAGGACGATAGATGATAGATAGAACAGAAGGAGCAAACCACACCAGAGCACCCGCCAACCACCCAAAAGAGTAACAAACAGAATTTTAAAAAAGAAGGAGAAATAAGGATGATAGATGTTTGATAGGCAAGAAGGAGCAAACCACAACAGAGCACCCGCCAACCAACCAACCACACACATTTACCATCACATAGAGCAGTACAATGTCCATGGTAACACTGAAAAAAGTAGGAGGAGCATGTCACGTCTGGTGGTATGCAATGATAAAGTTCTATATATTTTATACAGTAGAGGGTTTTACGGCGCTCGCAACAGCATAAGGTCATACGAGCGCCAAGGGGTGAGTGTCAACAGAGAAGTCTTTACAGGGAATCAGACTTAGAATGCTCACCTCTCTAGCTTCAACAGCACAAGGTCTGCTTCGACTATCAAGGCACCCCAAAATAGCAGGTCACAAGGGAATGACAAACATACAAAAGAAATAGAGGAAAATGACAATAGTAAGGATCAGGAAAGAAAAAGCAGCAGTTCCCTGTTGTAGATCAGGCACAGTTATGAGCGTGACATGAGTCAGCCCATTTACAATTCTACTGTGCTTGAACGAGATATGTCCCCCCTTTGGGAATGGCTTAAAGACACTTCAGTCAGTGGCACTGCCCCGGGAGGTAATGATAAAGTTAAACAAGCCAGCACCAACAGCTAAATTTACACCCAAAAATCACTCAAGGAATAAAGTGCAGAGAACACAAAACTACACTTACCTTGCATACTTGAGGAAGTCAATTTTTCTAGGAAAACAGAGTGGTAGAATGAGCAAAACTGATGAGACACTGATGGTGAAGGCACGGCTCATGTAAAACGGGTTGCTGCCACAATAAAACGATCTCGCCACATCAATGAAAACTGGATAGAAAGCAGAAAAAAGGGGAAAAGAACACAAAAATGAAAACAGGAGTCGCCCTACAAAAAGATAATAACTGCAAACACCAATTGAACGTTAGCACACTTTACCCAAAGTTCACAACAATCAAAAGAGTATGCAGTATCATATTCATAAACCTCTGATGTGTAACAATGCCTGCCATAAATACCTTACTAACAACACACTCACAAGGTACTTGAAAACAAATTTTTAAAAGGCAATAACTAGAACTGGAATACATTCCAGTTGTGAATATTGCCAAATGCTGTTTTAAAATTCATGTGGATGAAACGTGGGCACTTAATCTAGAACTGGTGCCATCACACACCGCTTCTCAGGAAGCTGAAGATGTTTTGGAATGAGATACAGTCTGCAGGGGTATGAATAAACTGTGAAGTGCAGAGTCTACTTTCTAGCACAGAGATGTGCTCAAAATGAGTCTGTTAAAATCTTTTCTTAACAACCATAGGTTAAAAAAAATAAATTATATTCCCTGTTAAGAAACGAACCGAGGATCACTTTGTTATTACTCACACAGCTCCCATTGGTCTCCTATAATGATGAGGAAGGTTATGCACGTGCCAAAACAGTACAGAGTAATGGACACAGCACACGCCAGCTGAGCCATCGGTCCACACACCGAGTGTACAACGTCCTGATAGGTGTTGGTTTTTTTGATGTCCGAGCAATAACCCAGGATCATGATGGCCATCACCACAAAAACCAGGAAAACCTTATAAAAGGAATAAGAGTAAATAAAAACAAAAGTTGCTGGTAATTTTTTTTTAACATCTCAGGAAGGAAGAATGGGAAGAGACACAAAGTTTTACGGCAGAAAAGTCCAAGAAGCACCATCCTATCATCGGAAAAGCTAAGAAGAAGAAGAGTCTGGTTTTTGAGAGTCGAAAACAGTTTTAGTTACAAACACCTCTTCAGAAATTGTATTATTTCAGAGGATACGCCTGTATTTTAACATCCATCTGAGAAAAGGCAGAGCCAGTATCTGAGAGCTATGATATAGGATCCAAAAAAGAAGAAAAAATCAGTAAATTTGGAGGGAATCAGGCTGATCCCTCAGTATAATAGACTTTTAATTGTAACGAGTGAAATGATACCTAACCCCCCCCACACACACACACACACACACCATACATGAAAAGCAGCAGCGAGACACAAGAAGCATTTCTATAACCAGATGAAGTCCTGTGTTGTGTGAAAATAGATATACGGCATACACATGACTACAAAGTACATATCACTAGGCTACTTGGTAAAACCTACAGCCACCTACCCCTGAGGCTTAGCTTGGGCATTATTACAGAAGTAGAAAGAAAACTACAGGTATGTCCCAATTCTTGTGGACAGCTTCACTAAAATACCACAGATTTCAATTCTTGCAGACAACTTCACTAAAATACCACAGATTCTTCTTCAAGTAGTAGATCTGAAACAGAAGTAGGGGATAATCGTTCACCAATATTTTCCCTTCTCTGATTCTCTAAAAAGTCCAATAGTATTCTAGTCTTTTCCTGTCACCTGTCAGTTTGAGTTTTCTGTGTAAAGTATTCTTAGTCTACCTCTGCTTTTTCTGCCTTCTACCTTTCCAGTGGCAAAGCATATGTGTTACGAAGCAGTGGAATCAGATGCTTATAAATTTTTGGGCATAAACAGTTTATGGTATTATCTTAAAAGTAGTTCATTAGTCTTACTTTGCTTTTTAAAAATACTCATCTACCTTGAATAGAAGTCAAAATATTTGCAATTGAATGTAATGGGGAGTAGCCTGGTATCAGAAATAAAATTAGCAAGAAATTAGCTGCCAAAGTTTGGTGACTTCCAAACTTGTGAAGGAAACAGCAAATTAAATTTTTTTTAGCCTTTAATCAACCTTTCGTAACGTATGTGCAGGAATGTGATATAAAATGGACGTAAAAGGTATGGTATTGAGCTTTTGTTGGAAAGATGTCAATTTCTTTTACTACACTATTATTCTGTAAATGTCTGATTTTCCAATGATGCGAAACCTACGTATCTGTATTCCCTAGAGCAAGAAGAGCTCAATATTGGTCTTTATTGGACAATTTCATTCTGGAATAAAGTATATAGTTGAGGAAAACATACCGACTGGATAATTATGGCAATCAGCACTCCTCCTGCCTGATGATATGCAATAGGGAAGTTGAGCAAGCCAGCACCAAGGGCTGCATTTACCACCAAAAATGCTGAAGAAAACCATCCTGAGCCTGAAAAAGTAGAAATTTACTTTTTATTCAAAGCAATCACAGAGCACACAAAAATTTTTCAAAGACAATAACTTGTACTTGGACGATATCTGCTGCGATTTTTTATTTATAAGTAAACATACAGTTATTGACCTGAAAATGACAGTCTGTGCATCTCAGTCCTTAATTTTTAAAAAGTGAGATCAAGATGGAAATATGAAAGACACTTATCACAAACTTGCCTGACATCATGTATGTAGGAATTTATACACCTGGCTAATAGAGTAAAGGATCTTGTCAGTATGTTCATGTTTGAGTGTCTAAAAAACTGCAGCTTGCACTGATGCTGATAATGTATTGGAGATTTATATCACTGAACCTAAAGGAAGTGAGGTCACCTGGTTTCGGTGGAGAAATTAGCGAGAAAATGGAGGCTAAAGTTTGGTAAATCCAATAGCTAAAGAGTACTTGAAAACAGAAAAATGACATATTTTGAGTCTTTAATCAATGTTTTTCTGTAAAATTCGCATGGAAGTGTGTTTGTATATATGGACATAAAAGAGGTTGAGCCCAAATATAAAAATTTGATAAAAATGGTCCAAACTTTCAGAAAAAAGTCTGTTTCTCCGATTTCTGTATTTTGACGAGCGCTGATATCAACATGCTGCCTCACATATATGACCTTATGCAGTTGCGAGCGCCTTAAAACCCTCTACTAAACTAAAAAAAAAGGCAAATTCTACACACTTCGAGGTACACTTTCACAAAACATTTCTTTTTTCTTACCTGTCTGAACTCTCACTTCCGCCACACTAACAGTAACAGACCCACTACCAAGAATAGGTCTGAGTTCATCATCTTTTATTTCACTGTCATATTCATGGTCATACTCTTGACTAGGACTGACAGAACGTCTATGAACGTCCGATGTCACTTGAATTGACATGGTTGCTTGCTCTCAGCATAAATCCTGAAAACATAGAAATCAAACAAAAATCTTCAAATAGCACTACTACAAAGCACTAAATTCTAGAGGATTTTTGCCCATCTTCCAAACTGTAATTTTACTCAGCTGATTTGCACAAAAAGAAAAAAAAAAAAGAATTTTTAATGTTAAATTTTTTCAAAAACCGAGCATTCACTTGAATCACAAGTCAACCACCACAGTCCGTCCCCATAACAGGTGGACACATGCAGAGGACAGGAGAAAGGGGTTAAGAAGGAAATGTATCACGTGGTACTCTACTATCAACATGCCATGAGAATAAATAAAGCGCCATTTTAATATTTCTTTCTTCTTTAACTCTCCTGGTAAGCAAGACGTACTTTTATGTTTGCTTTCGATCTCCCAGCAAGAAGTATTGAGGGGAAGTGTTAGTTTTGACGATGGAAGATGTTCTTAAAGAATTCGCCACAAGTGAAATCAAACAGATCTATTGTTTAGTTTACACTTAACAGAGGGGACAAAAAGATGTGAAATCTAGAGGAAGGAAAGAAAAAATGTATTCCAAACCTACTATATTCTGACAATGTGTAAAAACACAAGGAGAGGAGGGGAAACTATGGGAGTATCCAAAATTAGAAATCTAGGTGTTTTCAGGGAAGGAGGAAGATCTCCCCTCCACTTCTTTGACTTCGACTTTGACAAGACCAGTTACTTTCCGAAACTTATTGGCATTCATTCCTTCTTTCTTTTAACACCCCCCCCCCCCCCCCCCCCCCCCCTCTACTCAACAGCATTGTACCAAAGACCATCTGCTGGCAATCGATCATAGAGAAATTTTTTTCCTGGCTCCTCTTCAGTTCTGCCATCTATAATCTTGCAGACAGGACAGACAGTATTTCAAGACAGGAGCAGATGATGAATATATAAGTATAAACATGGAAAGCAATATTTGCCCCAATTTTGGTCTTCTGGAACATCCTTATGTTTCATTCATCAAAGGCATTTTTACAGAGGTAAAAAGGAATCCACCAAATTGTTTTCAACCGCCATAAAAGTCGTGACTAATTAACAACTGTCTTTCTGTCATTATATTTTTGGAATATTATTATTATGATCTATCAGGGGGCTCTCGTGGCCTAGAGGTTAAGGTGTTCACCTCTCATTCAAAGGTCACGGGTTCGAATCCAGGCAGCGACGGAAAAAATGTTCTCTAAAACTGTCTCCTTTCACCTCCTTTCATACTCTCTAGCAATGTTCTGTAGTCTGCTTTCGTCTCCACTTTCTACCCCCACCCCCTCACCACCTTTGCCCCCCTCCTCTCGGCTCCTGACTCTTTCTGCTACTCTTTGGCTCCTTCTTACTGCTGTCTTTCAGCCACACCCCTGATCTTCTTGGAGGAAAGATCTAGCCTTCTTTGGCAAGGGCAAAAAATCTTGGAGGTCCCGTGAGCAAGTTGCGCACGTTAAAGATCCCTTGGTTGTCTAAAATCGATAAGAGTAGGCTTCTGCCGCTACCCGGGCAAAATTCAAAATTTCCTACCAACTGAAAATGTTTAATGTGTCCCGCGCGCTCATATGACCTTATGCAGTTGCGAGCGCTGTAAAACACTAATAAAAAAAAAAAAAAAATTTCTATCAAATAAAATTAGAACATAACAAGAGTGGAATTTGTTTTACAATGGTATACAAAAATACACACATGCATGAAATAATACACAATATAATAAGGCCGGCACTATTTCTCCGAACGTTAGGGAAAATAAAGCTAGGCACTATTTCTCCGAACGTTCGGGAAAATAAAGCTGGGCACTATTTCTCCAAACACTCTGAAATCACATCCTTTCCCGCAAATTTCGGATATTATATAGATCTATAATTATAGTATAGGCCTACCAAAGATTGTTCGTATACAATATGGTTCAATCGGTCCAAAAAATGTCCGCAGTAAATATTTATATAAAGAAATGCTACAGTTCCAAACAGTTTTTCGCTAGAGATATATGCCTATGAAGGGTGCTGCTCTTAAACTTAATGTGTTGTGTTCACTCGTGTGCTGTCTAGATCTAGATCTACGGAGGGTTATTGATAATGACACGTAGAACTAGCATCTGCGTTTGTAGCGGCCGCGACCAATCAATCGTGGCTCGATTTTTGGTCGGGGAAAAAAAAGTCAAATAAAAATTTAAAAAAAAAAAAAGAAAGAAACCGAACCTCTTTACTTTTGAAAGAAAGTTCACCAAGCTCCACTTCGTCTCTTTCTCACTTGTTGTCACCACATTTATTTGTTGAATACGTTACAGTTACTTTTATTTTTTCCTCTTTGTGGTGTTTTATTTTGTTAGTGTGTATTTTTTTCTTTCTTGTTATTGTTCTGACGCGTTGTTTTTCTATCAATTTTTTTTTATTGGGGAAAAAAGGTGGGCCGGGGGGATGTTGTATAGTGTAACATCATTTAATTTGATGGTCCTACCTTCATTAGATTCTAAATATATACATATGTATATATATATAGATTTAAATGTGTTATGTTAGAGCGTACGTTCCATCAAAATCGATTACATCTACTGACACTGGCAGGCCCCTTAATGTGTGTGATTCCATAATTTACATGTAATATCCTGTACTTTGTTTTAAAATTAAACGCACATTAAGTAGTTAAAACAGCCAATCTTCTTCGGACAGGTGGACTCACGCCCTTATTTGTTAATTTTTGTGGTTGTTTATGGGCTGTTCTAATTTTGATTTCATTCGGTTGTGAAACTTTTCTTTTTCACGTTTTTACACTCATCTAAAAATCTCAAGACTAGCTCTTGAAAATTGAAATAATAGACCTAAAAATTTGCTGCTGCTGTGTGTGTGTGTTTGTGTGTGTGTGTGTGTGTGTATGCATGTGTGTGAGTGTGTCTGTGTGTGGTGGTAGTAAGTGTGTAAGTGGAGAGTGAGGAACGTGTGTGTGTTTGTTTTTCGGGCTTTATTCAGTAACAGTTCAAAGTACAAAAATAGAAACACAGGATCCATTCACTCCAGGGCTCATGAGTCGTTCCTCTCTTTCAGTTTCACTCATACTCATTTAATTCTCTCTCTCTCTCTCTCTCCGACCCCAACACACGCTAACATCCAATGGCCTGCTCTTCTCATAGAATTTGCTTCTGATCATGACCTCTTGACGAATAAACATTAGAAGCGCTTTAACTTTTCAGGCTGGCCTCAAATTCATCATAAGATAAAAACTCGGCTCTGGCACAATTTAACGCCATTTTGCCCGAAGTGATCCCGGTCTCTACCCAGCCTGAGGCGAGTCACGAGTGAGGAAGGACAGGAAGCCGGAGTCACGAGTCACAGGAAGTCGGAAGTGATGTCATGCTGGACAAGAATCAGAGTCCGAATAACATTTTTTCATATTCGGACTAGAGTCCGAAAAGTTTCGGACTAGAGTCCGAATAGTCACTTCGATAATATAATTATAGATCTATATATATATCCGAAATTAGCGGGAAAGGATGTGATTTCAGAGTGTTCGGAGAAATAGTGCCCAGCTTTATTTTCCCGAACGTTTGTGCCCAGCTTTATTTTCCAGAACGTTCGGAGAAATAGTGAACAGCTTTATTTTCTCGAACGTTCAGAGAAATAGTGCCCAGCTTTATTTTCCTGAACGTTCGGAGAAATAGTGCCGCCCTGATTATTTTTGCCACGGCACGGGGGCAACCTCTCTGAAACCCCCCACTGTTATGGCTAGTGCGCATTAATACACACGTAAATACAGTGGGTCCACCAAAGTTCAATCCAGCCAAAATAAATTTTTAGAACAAAAAAGGCAGAAAAATATTACTGGCTAATGTGGTAGGGTTCACTTAGTTGACTTAGCCAGCTCCTGCCTTGCCTTGCTTAGATGGCCATTTTGCCATTCGGTCCTTAAAGAAAGGACCTTAGCAGCAATCACTTCTGTTTCTCATGTAAACAAACGGAAAGACAATTTCCAAAGAGCCCCAAAAAGCATACCACACAAATTTAACACATTAGTTACTCGTTAGAACATTTCGATACTTTTACCTCGTAATTAGTGATTTTCGATGGCAAGATTGTTTCCTGAACATTTATCAGCTGAGAGCCATCGACCATTTTGTCACCATCACGTGACTTTAGACAATACTACACGATAACACGCTTTCTTTGTTTACATCCAATGGCCACTTCTCTTTGTGACAGAAGTATTTAAGGTGGGGAATACAAGAGACGGACTTCTCACTGCTCTTCTCATAGAATGTTTTTAATTTAGTTTAAGTAGTCGGAACCCCGATGAATTAGTGTATTAGTATTCCAAGTTAAAGATATTTAGCATAATCATGCTCATGTTATCATTTACTTCTTAAATTTTCTATTTTTACTTCTCACATGATCTTTTACGTCATTTTTGTGTTGGTTCCTGACGCAAACAAGGAAAGCAAAATGGCGGCGAAGATGGCACAACACTGTGGCTTAGTCGTAACGTACTTTTGGATTTAGTTTATTTCTGTGATTAATAGCTTTCACGAGTTTTGTTCATTTCGACAGGAAAGGACCATATTCACCTTCACCATGGGTTTGAAGCTTAGTACAAACAATCAACCGCGCATGAGGACGTATTCCGCGAGTACCCCAGGCTCGAACGGAGGAGCAGGAACAGATGTTGTGGCTCGTAATGGGGCTCAGTCATCGAGGGCCAGAGCTAGAAGCCTTGGAAACTTTCAGAGCTCTGGAAACTCTGGGTCACTGAGCATTCCGGGAGCTTCAGGTGGAACTCACAGAAGCAGTTCTCCAGATTCAGATTCAAGTTCACCTGGAGATGATCCTGGACTCTTGTTTGGAGGGAGACCCTTCACCCATTCTTTGCCAGTGCATCTCTTTGCTTTGCAAGGTATGATGACATTTTAGAATTTTTAACTTAAATTTTTTATGGTGTAGATCTAGGTCTATTTCACAGAAACATGCAGTACACTCATATTTCATCATTAGTTCTTAATCTATTCTAAACCTTGAAAGATTGGTGCTTTTTCGGTAGATCTAGATCTAGATCTAGATCTAGTTCCCACCCCGCAATTGTTATTCACGGGTTTTGGCCCCAAGAGTAGGGGGGTTTCAGGGGGGCATGCCCCCCTGAATTTTATCACAATTTAATGTTTTGCTGTTGTTAGGTTTGATATCTTAGCTCACCGCGAATCAAACGTATAGATCTAGATCTAGATGTAGGTCAGGCTCAAATAAGGGGGGTGGGAAATACCGAAAAAGCGCCGAAAGATTTGTAAATCAATGTTCTTGTACTAAAGTTGTAAAACGAATCCTATGATGGTTTGAAGTACCATCTCTCCACAGAAGATCGACAGTGCAGGACTCATCTTTTAGGGCCTAGATCTAAATCGTTGATTTTTAATACTATAATTATAGATCTAGATATCTAGATCTAGATCTAGATCTAGATCTATATAATATCCGAAATTTGCGGGAAAGGATGAGATTTCACAGTGTTCGGAGAAATAGTGCCCAGCTTTATTTTCCCGAACGTTCGGAGAAATAGTGCCCAGCTTTATTTTCCCGAACGTTCGGAGAAATAGTGCCCAGCTTTATTTTCCCGAACGTTCGGAGAAATAGTGCCGGCCTTAAAAAAATCTTTTTGCTGCAATCTTTAAACTTGTATTCCTGAGTCTAGAGATCTAGAAATGAATTTATGTTACATAGACAGGAACAAGGAAGTAAGTCTAGATTTTAATCAAGATCAAATCAAGGCCCAGGCCTACTAAAAATGTTGTGCCCCATTTTGAAAGAAACCCACATGGTCCTGTTCAGTGAGCTAATATTATGTTTAAACAGAGTATTGAGGATGGAATCGATTGAGGATACTGCTCAACAAAGATGAAAGTCCTAACATTTCAACATCGATGTTTCAATCATGATTCAAGATCTTGGCCTATTAAAATCTAAAAATGTTTTCCCACATTTTGAAAGAAATCCCACATGGCATGGTCCTATTCAAATTCATTGGGTTTAATAATGTAAACAGTATTGAGGATAGATCTAGGCCTAGATCTTCTGCCCTACTTCATTGTCGCAGGTTGTAATTCACTAGAGTAAGTGAGTAGTAAGCTTCTGATGAATTCTAACCTAGGACCCCTCTTGACTTGACATTTTAGTAAATTTTTGGACACTGACTTTCACTTTCTCTACTAGATTTAGTACTTAAAAAGGAAGGCTAGCTAACCTTTAACGAAGTGTATACAGACCCGGTAACCGGGAACAAAGTCACGAAGTATACAGACCCGGTAGGGGAACTCTTTTGTGATTTCGGAAAGTTTCAGTGCCCAGACCCGGTAGTGTGACGTGTGTTTGTGTGTGTGTGTGTGTGAGAGAGAGAGAGAGAGAGAGGTGCTAGCAAAATGTATATATGACATGCCCCGGTTGGCAGGAGGGAACGAGAGAAAGATAGAGTGGGAAATAGGTGGGGAGAGAGAAAGAAAGAGACAAACAAAGAAAAAGAGAAGGCGAGCGATACACAGAGAGGAGAGATTAGAGAGAAGCAGTGACATAGATTTTGTTTTATTGAGCTTCAAAATGTGTATACTTAAAAGAGTATATATATATTACATATATTCTGCTTACAAGTCTGTTTTTGCAGTCCAAATTAATTTTGTCTTTCACCTCACTAACCTCTGTCTTGGGTCAGGGTTTTAACAAGGTTAATACAGACAGGGTTTATAAAGCCCACTCTTCCTTCTTTGATCAAAATAAGAGATAGATATAGTTTTCAGATTGCGTGTAACTTCTCTGAAGAAACTCGTGCAGTGTGTATTGATGCCCTAGTCTTTAATGTCCCTGGTCAGCAGCAAGGCCCAAAATTTCTCATTCTCAGAAGGCAAGCATTTGTCAGCTGTTTTAGGAACCCCATTTCTCTGTGCCAATCATGAATATTTAAAGAGTGAAATTTATTATTTTGAAAGGATTGAGTAATTAATTCCTTTACATTGGGCATGCTTCAGCAATATATTCAGTCCAGCATAGGCTCACTGGTGTAAGAAAAAGTGATTATAATCATTTTATGCAGGGATCTTGGTTTACATGGTGAGTAAAAAAGATTGGCGTTGCTAATATTTCTTGCAACAGCAATGATACCAATTTGTCACAGTTGATTAAGTCTAAACTATTTCCCCTTGATAGGTGTATCAAGATTTCCACTTAGAAGAAATTTATCTGTAATTAGTGAATGGTGGCTATAAAATAATGTTTTGTGAATGCATTGTGATCTACCAAGTGAGCCAGTATCATTAATCAATACACTGTGGATTGCTAACATATCAAATTGCTCTCAAGGCTGCTTGAGCTCACTACAGGCTTATATTGATTTAACTGGGTGAAGAAAGCTATCCTTTCGGATGATGACAGTCTTGGTTTCCCTTGTGCTTGCTATGGTGTCTGTGGCTTAGTACAAAGAATTAGTTTGTAATATATGAATGTCTTTTCTTGGATACAACGTGAGCAAATTATCAAGAAGAAAGAGATGGGGATATACCTCTGTGGGTGATAATTGGATCTTGATTATTTGCCTATTTATTAAAACCATGTTTCACTTTAATGAAGAACTGCAGTGGAGAGGTGGAGGGGGGGGGTATTTTATGATATTGTGGTGAGTGGGAGCAAACACACCTCACTAATACATCCTTATGAACCGTAAAAATGTGTTGAGAGATACAAGAAGATAGGAAATATGCTAATTAAGGGGAAATGTGACAATTGAAAAAAGTACCACTGCATTTTGGATTTTTTTACCACGGGGACAAGACGGAAGCAAGCAATGTGTGTTACATAGCGAGACTGTGAATGTGTACTGCTTTTCATAATGGCAATAACATATTGCCCTATCTGTGAACAATAATTTATTAAGTAGAGGCTAAGAATGCTGATCATCTTCTTGGGTGTTTTTTATTTCTTGTTTTCTCATTAAAATAGTATGCATCATTCTAGCCCTGCATTGCAGAGGCCTGAATATCATGTAATGTTGACCTGAAAATATACTATTCCCTTTGTCATATTTTGAGTACTGTAAGCACCATTTTTCTCCTCTGATCTGGTCTTTTAATCATTCTTTTTCAGGCATCAAATGTCCTGTGTGCTCCAAACAGATAGCGTCAGATGACATAGAGTGCCACTTGGTCATGTGCCTCACCAAGCCTCGGATCAGTTACAATGGTTGGACTTCTCAGTATATTTTAACCAGAATACGATCAGTTACAATAGTTGGACTTCTCATTCTTTTTTTGTCAGAATTGGATCAGTCACCTCATTATATTTTATCCAGATTTGGATCGTTTATGTCAGTGGTTGGACTTCCCATTCAATTTTTGCTAAAGTCGTCTTTTGTCCAGACAGTTTAGGTTATGGGGAGACTCACTGAAAGGGAGGTCTACTCTTACTTTTACTTTCAGTACTGAGCAGGACAGCGATGAACTCCTCTCTCATTCAGGGAAGTTTTGTTTATGTACCAGGTGTCTTTAAATTTAAAAAAAAAAAAAAAGAAAAGAGGAGGACCCATTTAAAGTGGAATAGCTCCATCATTTGTGCGTTTTTAGCTTCTACATGTATCTAGGCGTTCTCAAACCTTTCTTCTTGTAACCATGCAGGGGCTACTCTTGATTTCTGGGGTATGATACCACCCTGATGGATACAGGCCTTCTCAACAGCATATCATTTCCACCTTCTCCAACTTCTCCAAAACTTTTTTAGCACGAGGAGATATTCATTTGATGTGATGCTTGTGGTTTTAGAGTTTTTGTCCTGAAACCAGAGCGGGTTGATGAAGTGAAGCTTTGAATTTTTCTCAATTCTATTTGAGTTGAGCAAAAAATGATCAAATATTAAAGTTTTTGTTTATTAAATTGTTTTGTAAAGAAGTTCTTCTGAGTTTGCATACATGATAAATCCAGAAGCAAGACTACTGAACAAGACTTTATGAACTTTATCAGACATTATGATCCATAAATTTGGACTCCCCCACTGCACATTTCCGTGGGTCTGAAAAGCTCAGGATTTTTTTTTTCTTATCCAGTTGGCACATGTATTTCATTTGTTATTTATTAGTTGCTTGTTGTTTTTTTGGGGGGGGGGGTAAATTCTGGGTTGCTTTGTTTTTTTGTTTTGGTGCTGTCGCTAAATAAATTGTCTAACAGTGCTGAATAAACCATGTTTAACATTGATCAGGTCAACATGAATGTCACTAGCATCAGCAGTGTGAAATTAAAAGGTGAACGCCCTCTAGTCACCAGCTGGCAAATGTGTAATTTGCAAATCTGGTTTTCTCACTTTTCTGTTTGCCATCAGTAATCATATTAGTTTAGCTAGCAAAATATTAGTTTAGCTAGCAAAATATTTTCTAAAGCCAGAATTAATTGGTTTCCATTCAGACTTCACCATTTAAATGTCCTGGCAGTCTCAAACTACAAATGATCTATGAGCGACAGGATAACAACTCAAAAAACAAAGATAGCGGACTCAAATGCTAGTCACTTAGATTGTTACCATAATGCAAAAAGTCTAGATCTAGGTAATTGGTTGGACTGAAATGAGAGTTGTTTTTTTTAAGACAAAGAGGCAGAATGTGGGAATACTCCTTACTTGCTTGTGGGAATGGATCTGTCTTATGAGAACTCCCATCTCTAGCTCTGAATGATTTAAATGAGCATGGTTCTTTCAAGAAGATTTTTATCTTTGGTTAAGTACTTGCTTAAAAGGCTCAGGTTTATTATGCACTAACAGACACACTTGCAAACACACATGCCCCCTTACCATTCCGAGCAAGGTTCAGAACCAGGATTCAGGGTTATGACAGGCTCTCTCGGGGAAAAGAAATCTTGCATCTTTTGAAAGTTGTTACATTGTGTGTATGCTAAAAATAGATCATGACATACCCATGATATTCTTTGATCAGCATATTTTGCTTTATGGAGAGTGTAAGATCTTTATCATTGAGAGAATGATTCGAAACCAGAGCAAGCTTTAAAATATGAGGTCTGACATACCCAGGTGCTAGTTTCTTTGGATTCTTTGAGTTGAGTATCTGGGTGTTCTTTCATTTCTGTTTTTAAAAGTCTCGAAATTGAATATACGCTATTCTCTACTTTCATTTCATTTTTATTGTAATCTTTGTTTTACAGAGGATGTCCTCTCGGAAGATAAAGGAGAATGTGTTATCTGTTTTGAAGAGCTCATTCAAGGTGATACAATTGCTAGACTACCCTGCCTTTGTATATATCATAAAGGGTGAGTATGAACCATTTTTAAGAGGTTGCTTAAATGGCAATGATTGTTCAAAGCGCAGAGTTGGGGAATGCCATATTTGTAGCAAATTTCACTTTTTGAAAGTTTTTTTTTCTTCTCTTCTACATCTTTCAATAAATACAATTTGAGCTTCATGCTGTACATATTGTGCTTGTCTTTGACATTGTCAACCTTTAATCTACCGAACAGTCACATAGAACAAGCAAATTTGTAGTAGATAGAGAAGTGTACCAGAAAGACCAATACCGGTAATGTCATGAAACACACCATGTGCCATCACATGCTCCTGTCTTGGGTCCATGTGAACTAACTTCACAGAGACAATAAGCCATGAACAACTGACGGTCATACGACAGATACACATTCGCTATTCTAAATGTCACTAGACACAATTTGTAGGCCTGGCCTGTTGATGTGTATTGTGAACGTAGGCAAATAGTACACTGGCGAATCCTCTCTCTGGCTTGCAATTGACACTTACGTTTTCGCGTCTGTTTTCTTTCTGGAAGCCCGTAAGATTTTGTGATTTGCTTTACCTGAGGGTTGCTAATGACTAATGGAGATTAAAAGAAATAACTCTTTAAATTCTTTTCTGTTTAGAATTTGGAGTGTTTTGACTAATTGATAGTATTCTTGTAAAGAGGAAGAAAAAAACTACGGGTTTATATTTTCTTTCAGTTTGCCTTTTTTTTTTTTCCAGATTAGCTATGTTCGCTTTAAGTGGACTTCACACTCTATTTTATCTGAAGACTATTTGATCTTCAAATTCTTGTGTTAAAAAAATTAATGTTGTCTGTTGAAAAAAAAAGAAGACATGTGGGCTATTACCTGTTGTGATATGCTCTTTAATTTTAGAAATATTTATAATAAATTTGTGATAATGACTGATATTAGATGCTTTTATATGTTAAGAATATAAAACACAATATGTCCATATGTGCGAAATCTAAGTTTTATAAGTGAGCAGAACAAGTTTCCATTTTACCTTACTGTAATGGAAGTAGATATTTCCTTGTATATTCTGATTCATAGCAATTTAATAGACATGTTATCCATCTAAAAGCAACTGCTATGTTCACTTGTTTCTTATCTTTTTTCCCCAGATGCATTGACAAATGGTTTGAAGTGAACCGATCCTGCCCAGAGCATCCTTCTGATTAGCCGCAGCACTAGCTGGAGGAGGAAAGCTAGTGAACAGAAATACACCCCCCAGGTCCCGTTCTCTGTGTCTGTGCTTTTCGTGATAAAACAAACACTCACCGGCAAAAATTGCGGATTATCCTGGCTGGTGTGTACATATGTACAGATTGGAAAAATTCATGCATATAAATGTATATGCAGTCCTGTATGTGTGCTCTTGTCTGTCACGAGGACAGGTGCCAGAATGAAGACAGCTGTATATTCATTAAAAAAAAAAAATTTCACTGGACTCTCACCATGTGCGAGTGAGATGCTGTGTGGATACGAACGATCGGAGAATGGGAGTCAAGATCTGCATATTAATGAAGAAGTGAACACTGTCTGTAATTTGTGTGTGGCTATTCAAGCACTCCTATATCCTTGGCTTTACAACTTACATTTTCCAGCCCTGCTGCAAATTGCTAGTTTTGTGGGATGGGAAGGGGGGGGGGGGTGTCTGTATGCTATACATGTATGATTTTTTGTTTGTTTGTGTACTGCAAGCACAATTTTTCTTATATACTTTCTTTTGGACAGATTTTATTTGAAATATATGTGTCTACATTCAAAGTCTTTTGTCGTTTCAAAAAATTATATTATCAGTTTTGATGACTTTCGTGTATTGTTGTTTTTTTTTAAACATTAGAGCAGTTGTCTTTCTGGTTGCTGTTACTCCGCAAATTAAAAAAGTTTATGAATAGATTTTGCACAAACGTTAGTTCTAACTGTAGTATGAAGGGTCATGGTCTAAAACTTTCTTGCTTGAACGTAACTATGTAATTCTGATATGAGAATGTCTGTTTTCAACTTAGTTTGGTCCCCCCCCCCCCCGGCAAGTATGTCTGTATCGCCGTTTTACTCCTAACTTGACTTGTTTTTTTCTATTGATGGAAAAATTGATGACAGTGACCGAAATATTTGGAAAGCAGGTGCTATGTTTCATTTCTCACTATTTATCAAGTGGTTGTAGGTTTCTGGCTGGAGAATCAATTTGAGCGTAATTATTTTTCTGTGCTATCAAATTCATCAGCTTTCATACTTTTGCGAAAAGCAACCTTTCTGCTACATATAGAGTTCAATTTTTTCAGTATCCCGATACTCTTTTTCTGAGTAGGTTTATCATTTTTTTCTCTGTCCTGTGTGTGAACGTTTCTGGGTTATATTGAAAAATTGTGTTATTTTTTAAAAGTTTTTCATTTTGTTCGGACTTGTTTTCCCGAATATCTCGTATTTTAGGAGAAATCATAATTGCTGGCTTGTTGGTGAGACAAAATACAATTTAGCCCACTGTATTAGTAATGTGCAACATAATATATGTTTTCTAATGTATAACAGAACAGTCATGCGCTGCTGTCACTCTTTTTTTACGTCTTAAACTCCAAATCCATGGAGTTTTACCTATCATTCAGGAAAGACTTATCATGAGTAGTAGTAATGGACAAAAACAAGCTGCTTCAAGCACATGATTCTGCCACTGTTCTGGTGTTCTCTTGATTTTGTGAGAAAATTTTAACTCATCCCTCATGTCGAACATGGACTCGAGGTCGCCTTTTCTCTCTCTCTCTCACTCTCTCTCTCTCTCTCTTTCTCTCTCTCCCTCTCTCCTTCTCTCTCTTTCTCTCTCCTTCTTTCTCTCTCTCTCTTTCTTCTCCCCCCCCCCCCCCCCACCCAAGAATCAGCATAATTGTGCGTTAGGTGAATATAATTGATGACCATTCCAATTTACAAACAACAATCTTAATTAGTCTTTTGTTGCGCTTGTATCGTTACTTGTTTAAAAATTGGACCTGTTTGGGGTATGAGTTTTTTGTTTTCCTTTCTTTTTCCCCTTTAAAAAAAATGCGGTTTACACTCCCTCTTCTATTTCCATCAGAATATCCTGTTTCTTCTCTCTTTTTGAAAGAATGCTGTCATAGGTTACATGTTTTTTGGTAATTGGTACAGAAATAGTTGCAGGGCTCTTGCACTATCTTCTTTCTGCTTGTAGACATAATAAAACACAGACACTCTGACGGCTACTGTTGTTGGTCCCTTTTTTCTGTTTGAAATGTTCGTCCTGTGAAAGTATGATGCCTGTCACTGGGGTCTTGGCCAATTCTTTTTTATACCATGCTGTAATTCATCAACTTGGTTGTAATTCTTTTAAGTTAGTCCATCTTTCCGTCACTTGATCGGTAGGCTCCATAGTTTTTTTGGGGTTTTTTTCTGCTCTTTGTTTGGGTTGTTGTTTTTTTCAGTGCCACTGATATTCTGTCTCTTTGGAAAGTATGGCTGGCCATATAGTAAGACTCTTGTCTGCCCCACCGAATTGGTTTGTTTGATTTTATGCGAGTTTGTCTTTTGATATCACATGTTTTTAATTTTGGCTTTCAAGTAATTTGTTGCCTTTTCTTTTCTTTTCTTTTCTTTCTTTTCTATTTTTTTTGGTTTTTAAAATGCAAAAGGCAAAGGGTACAGGTGTCTTTGATGGGCATGCATAACTTGAAGTTCAGTACTGGGTATCTTTTAAGCGGCGCTGGCTGACTATGCCTCTAATTTCAACATTCATTTTTTTGTTGTATTCACAAATGTGAGGGTGCCTGTTTTATTTTCTTGTATTTGTAATGGATCGGAAAAGTAAGTAATGGAGGTTCACAAACTGTTCCCTCATTGTGTGGCGCCATTTCTGTTCGTTTGTTTGTCAGTAAAATGGACCCCTATTTTAATTTTGCTGAGCAGTCACCCGTAACAAGTGGGGATGGCAAAATCCTATAAAAACAAAGTGATTGCGGAAATGATCATCTAGTATTTACACGATTAATGAAATTCACCATTCATGTATTCCCTCAGCTGTCAAAACGAAGTTACTTAGAATATATCATTGGCAATTCATCATTGAGGCTTATTTCTCACCTCTAGCCATTTCTGGCTAAACATTATTGCTGTTTTCTGGGCATAATTGCAAAGATTAATAATAACCAGAACATGGTGATCAAAACTTTGATCATTTAAATTGATGCCACTCCAGGGATCACCTTGGTCTGATCTAGCTGGGGAAAACAGACTTCATGTCTACTATGATTGCTGTGAAATTGTCATCAGTAGTTTTATTTCTCGAAACACTCAACCCCTGGATTCCTTTTTTTTCCCCTCTGGTAAATATGAGAAGGAGAGTCCTGTATTGTTAAAGAGATAAGCTTTGAGGTTAGCCTGAATTTTTCCCCTGTTTATCTGTCATGATAACGGGCACTGCTGGTTGGTGCTTCATTCATATTGCTTCTTCTTATTTGTGCGTATCTCTCCAAACAAAATGATGATAATGTGGAAGTTTTATTTTAATTTTTTTTTGGGGGGGGGGGGGGGTGTTGTCACTTATGTCACCAGTCTTCAGAAGACTCTTCCTGTGTCTGTTAGATTGAGGTTGAGTTGGGGTGGGGGGGGGGGGGGGGGGTTTTATTTTTTTTTTTTTTTTTGGGGGGGGGGGGGGGGGGGGGGTCAGGTCATTATTTTTGTAATCTTCTGTGTCATGAAGTCACAGGAACATAGTGTTTTGATAATGTACTTTATTTCTGTATTCAGACAGTGGATGTAATGTTTTGCTTATGTTCATCATTTAGAATTTTGGGGAATTGTCATTTCATCTAGCTTACCCCTCACCAGTCCCCATGCACCTATGCAAGTTGAGGGCAGTATTGTCTGTAATTGGTCGTCAAAGCAATTCACGAGGAGTAGATATATGTCATAAAACGTCCTGCCTAAAATGAAACCTATAAAGTAAGCGTCTAGACTATGGGTAGAATTGTTTGCTTTTTCTTTAAAGTACCAATTCACATACTTAAACCTGTTCCCACTTTACAAAAAAATGTGACACCAGTAGTTAGAAATACGATATAACTTATTGACAAAGGACTAGTACTTTGCAACAACTTTTCTTCTTTCACTCAGGCAGCTGATCAGTTTCAAAGGTAACACAAAACGGAGAACTTTTACAAATGGTGAAAGGTAGAAAAGGGGGCAATGGTTCTTGCTCTGCTCATGTAGGTTTCACTGATCTATGATGTCATTATTTGAGAATGTCATTTTTGATAGTGTAGACATTTAGGTGGGTTCCTCTTTCATTCAAACAAGTTCAGTTAAAGAATTATAACTTAATACATGCAATTATTAATTATTGTCATCTCTAATGGGGTTTTTGAATAGAATAACTGTGTTGATATAAACATTAAACTTTTTATGTCGGTCAATAGTGTAACTGATAATGCAAGGTCTTTGTCTTTTACCTCTGATCACTGTAGAGATGAGAAAAGGAAAAGAGGGAGTGGGAAGAAACATGTCTTGGCTTGGACCTCGAGCATTCTTGTTATATAGTCGAGAAGTTGTGGGTCATAGAGATGAGGAGGAAGCTGTCAAAAGCAGCAGCCAAGAAGGGGAGTGGTTTTGTTTGTTGTGTATTGAGTTTGTGTTCGTTGCTTATTCGACAAAGTCTATCAAGCTTGCAGCTCCGACCAATATGTACGGAAATCAGATAGTTTGTTTTCTACATGTATGAAGATCATGAAAGTGCACTAGTGGAAAAAAATATTTGTGGTAGTTTTGAAAAATAATTTTTCATTTATGTGTTTTATGAACACACGGATGTTGTACTCATTTGAGGGTTGCAGTGAATGATCAGTGACATCTCTGTATTGTGTGACAGTGTAAACCAGGCAATGAATAACAGAGAATATTGTACTGATTTCTACCTTTTGAAAACAGCATGTGTGTGTTATTTCCATATTCAAACAGTTCACAATATTTAGATATCAGAAAGTTATAAAATGGTGAGAGAGTCTAGATGTTTAGTAAGCAATGCCTGTCTTAACGAGACACATGTAGCTGTGGTAGTTGTGCTGACTGGTTCCTAAATTCTGCGCAGGCTTCAGGTGTAAGAAGTTTATTTGTACTAGCAGTTTCAAGAAAGCTTTGATCATCCAGTCAAATGTATCAGCATAGACTTTGTTATCAAGTCCTGAGCAGAGAACCTATATTTGAATCTTTTTCGTTTACTAACGTCTGAGGTAATAATTGCTTGGCGCAGGTGTTCTCAACCTGTATTCAGAATTCCATATTTTTGCCATGGCTGAGAAGAATAAAAAGTCCTCCACTTTTCTTATTAGTTTTCTGTCAGTGTCAATTCATGTGAATAGTGTTCCTTTTCTGACTTGAAAACTAAGGGTTTTGTCAAAATTAATATTGAAAGCTGTGAAAAAGAATATAAATTC